TCTAAAGCGATGCAGTTCTTCATGTAATGAGAGTTACTTTATTTTGGGCATAGACATAAGTAATGCTTTTCTCTGTTCTTGGCGGGTTTTCAGCACTGATGTCAATGCCTTAGTGGAAGAGATACAGATAGCAGAGCCGCTCATCACAGCTTCCCGGACAGACCAAGTGAAACTCTTAATACAGAGACTGCAGTATAAACTCGGCCAGCACAGCACCCACAAATTCTACCTTTTTAAGGTAATGCCTGCTTAGCAATAGTTGATAGAAGGGTTTCAATGAATTTAGTGGTGCTCTACCATGATGAGGTAAAAAGAGAAAAAAATGTCTTTCCCTCAGTGTGTCACAGATATTTGCTGAGACTAGCCTCAATAAATGCTTGTTGAATAGGTAAAATGCACACATTTCTTAAGAGGCTAAATAAGGATTTTGCTAACGTTAGCTCTTTTTCATGACAAATTGACAGAGTAGCTATTGAGGTCGGTTTAAATTACCGAATAGCATCTTCTTCTAGCTCACTTTTTCTGAATGAAACTGTATTTAAGTAAATTGTTTATTTACAGGGCAATGTAAGTATGCTTACTTTCCCTAAAGTTTCTGATGAGTGAGAGTATTACATAGTTCGTTATTTATTACTTCAAGAACAACTTTATTATGTAGCAACTTTAATAGCTTTGTAGTAGTACACTGACTTTATTTTTATAATTTAAATATAATTATAGTACGATATAATTATTATATACTCAGCAAATTCTGACACAAAACATCCAGGCAATTTTTGGCATTCATTCAATTTTCTGGAAGGGGATGAAGTTATTCTTGTCATATATTTTTTTAATCCAGCAGGGAGCGCTGTTTAGCTTCAAATGTGATCTCTACCGAGGGTGAACTTGTGATTCTTCCTCCAAAGGGACTATTTGTGACTGTGACAGGGGATGCGATTGCCAGGTGCACTCTGGCAGTAAACATTATGGGCAATGTCCCAGCCCTGCCAAATCCCTCTGACCTATAAACAAACTATCCAATTTACATACCTGCTAGGGAATGTAAAGATTGAAAAGTAAATAAGACAGTCTGACTCTGAAGTAGATTTTGGACTAGAAAACTAACAATAATCGTACATCACAACATTCTGTCTTTGAAAGCTGCTTAGTGTTTTTTATCAGCACTGTCCCTACAGATGTACAAGTCTTATGCACCAGTAAAGTATTATGAACTCTGTTACTTGCTATTTTATTTAATACCCCTAATGTAATTCAATGGGAAACGAATGAAAAACTTATATCCAATGACTTTTTTTGTGCTTTATGTAACCACCAGATGAGTTGTTGGTCATAATGATACAAGGAACGATGCATTTTTTCTCATTCATTCCAGTATTAGATATTGTTCATTTCTATTTATTATAAAGACAAATTTGAATGTCTTCATTGAAGTTAAAAATGAATGAATGACAGTCATTGTTTTCTTTCATTGAAGGTTCTCAGGGCACATATACTGCCATTGACTAATGTTGCGCTTAATAAATCAGGCTCATGGTAAGGATCTCTACTTAAAACAATTTTTTTCCATTAAGTTTTTATTTTATTTTTTTTTTAAGATTTATTTATTCATTCATTCATACAGAACTGGGTATAAGCCAGAGGTGCAGGGGCGGTGAGAGGATTCACCAGAGACAGAGTGTGGGGGCAGAACAGACAGATCTATGAAGTACATGTCTGAGGGGAGACAGGAGAGGTCTTGCCACGCCATGTCGGTCACCTCCGGGGTGGGGGATCGAACTCACACTGAAGCAGCTGTGGCGAGCTGGCAGTGCTCTGTCTTAACCCGCTGCGCCACCAGGAAGGGCCCCCATTGGGTTTTTAAAGAGCAGTTTTAGGTAAACAGAACATGTGGGCAGAAATGTTGCACATTCCTCTGGCCTCACACCGGCACAGCTCCACCCCCGCCAGCAGCACCAGAGAAGGCCACGCACTTGGCACAGCTGGTGAAGCTGCAGGACTCCCCATCCTCACTCAGAGCTCGGGGTGCACACAGGGGCCCACTCTTGGCTTTGTATGTTCTGTGGGTTGATGAACCGCGGAAGCCTCGCATTAGGGGTCTCTAGGGCGGTGTCACTACCTCAACACCCTCTGTTCCCTACTAGGCTTCATTCCTGATGTCTAACCTTTACCACCCAAGAGCTGAAAATACCCTTTTTTGAAAGAAAAGTGTATATTAAAAGTGTAAATCATGATGACTGGGCATACACATCATGAACTTGTTACTACTCAAGTTAATGAACGTATCACCTCAAGTGGCCACGTTCTGTGAGCACAGAGAGTGCAGAATCTGTGCTTCTAGCAGATCTCCAGTATTCGCACCGCGTCACTGCCCAGCCGTCATGCCTGAACAGGTCTCTGGACCGGCTCATCCCATGTGACTGTATTTCTGTCCCCTCTCACACGTCTCCCACCTCTTCCTCTTACCAGTTCCGGGAATCACCACTCTCATGCCTGAGTTTTACTTTTATCCACCTCTGGCTTGTTTCACCTAGCACAGTGTTATCCATTTTCACCCATGCTGGTGAATAACGTCCCATCAGTTACCCGCACACCACCTCCCGCGACCCCCTCCTGCCCTCGCGGACAGTCCCTGTCTTGACCGTGGTGGACAGCACTGCAGTGGACACGGCAGGAAGCTGCCCTCCAAATCCTGATGTCCTTTGCTGGCTACCCAAATGGGACTGAGGAATCAATAGCAGTTCTATTTTTAATCTTTGGGGGAACCTCCGTACTGTTTTCTACAGGAACACACCAGTGATGTTCCCATCGGCAGTGTACAAAGGTTAAGGGGTTTCATACAGCGTCTAAGTGTTTTTGTTAAAAATAGCAGTTGAGGAAATAACAGACGGTTCATTTTCTCATTTCAGCACCCTCCCTGAGGGAGAGGGGATTTGAGTCTGTACTGAGAGAATTTGCCAAGTTGGGTAGGTGGGGGTTGGGGGTGGCTGTGAGCCATGGAGGGTTTTATGATGGAACCATAAAGTAGGAAAAATGTTCTTGTTTACTGGGATAGATCGGAGCTTCAGAAAGTGTTACTGCTTGTCAGCATCATCTAATAATAGTATTTGTATCGTAAAGATAACTAATAGAAGGATTGCACTTTGACTTTTTTTTTTAAAGTTTCTAAGTCAAAGGATTTTGATACTGTTCCCTACTGAGGTGTTTGTTCTGCGCACACAAATCCACCGTAAAAAGCAGAACACACATGCTATGGGCCTGCAAGTAAAAAACAAAACAAAACGCGGTCTCTGTTCGCACGCCGCGGTGCTCACCTTGTGGTGTATTTCTGTCCTTCGCCCAGCTTCATCACCGGGAGTTATGACCGGACATGCAAACTCTGGGACACCGCCTCCGGGGAGGAGCTTTACACCCTGGATGGCCACAGGAACGTGGTTTACGCCATCGCGTTCAACAATCCTTATGGGTAAAGAGACACCCAAGCTTTCACCTAGTCCTTCATTAACCCAACATCCATTCTAGTCATCCTTCCCCATCTATTTGGGGAAGAGACTGTAAAAGAACTAAGATTGATTGAGCGCCTGTGTGGGCTTTGAAGCCTCTTAAATACCCCCTGTGCTGCCTGCGGGAGCTTTGGGACAGACATTCCTGCCCCGGGCTCAGCATCCGGTCTAGGACTCCCCAGCGCTGCCCCACCCACGCCAGGCAGAGCAGAAAGCGGGACTTGCGGCCCTCGTGCGCCCCCTGGAGGCGCATTTCTACACACAGTGTGGTTTGCATTTTGTACTCCTTAACATTTTATTTTTAAGTGAAACTTGATTTACCATTTGTGGACAAAATGATATAATTTTGTGAGTACACCTTTATACTTTGACAGTTACACACGCTCCACTTACCCTCCACCAGAGCTGCAGTTCCATCATATAGGGTTTTGAACCCACACTTCGCTCTTGTCTCCCCTGTGATAACTACCATCTTTTCCAGAGTATTCTTTTTTTTTATTTTATAAAAGTTTATTTTTGCATCATTTTGTACATTTTTTTTATCTCAATTGTAATCCCCGTGGGTTTCCCATCACCAAGTCACCCGTGTGCCATCACCATAATCCCATGCACTTCCCTCCCTACCCCCTCATTTTTGATCCCATTCCCCACTCCACCCCACCAAATGTCTCTGGTATATGGCTGTTCATTATTCTTGTTATTTTCTCGCCTGGTCCATTATACTCCTGCTATGAGTGAAACTATCTGGTATTTTTCTTTCTCTTTCTGGCTTATCTCACTAAGCATGATCTTTTCCAGCTCCATCCAAGTGGCTGCAAAAGACATGTGTTTCTCTTTTTTGGTTGCTGAGTAAAATTCCATTGTATATAAATACCACATCTTTTTAATCCAGTCATCTACTTTTGGGCATTTGGGCTATTTCCATGTCTTTCCAATTGTAAATAAAGCAGCAATACACATGGGGGTGCCGGTATATTTTTCAATCAGTATTTTTGTGTCTTTTGGGTAGATACCTAGGAGTGGGCAGAGTATTGTTTTTGCTGTTCTTTTCTGTATGGTCTGCACATGACTGATACTGTTCCATAACTGGCTTTCACCTTCTGATTTATTTAACTTAATAGAATTACTTCAAGACCTGTCTTGCCACAAAGGCACAGTTTCATTTTTCATGGCTGAGTAGTATTCCTCCGAGTATATGTACTACCACTTCTTTATTCAGTCACCAGGTGAGGGGCATTTAGGATGATTCCATGTTTTGCCTATTGTGAATAGTGTGACTATGAACGTTATCTACTTGCTTAGAAGTGACTTCACAGTATTACCAGTATTGCTAAATAACAGTACAAAATGCATAGGGACATTTAAAAACCAGTCTGTAGTTAACCAGTTTAGCAGATTAATTCTCTATTTTGTACAATGTGTTCCAGATACCCAAGGCTCCCCAAAGTTTGCAGCAACTAGGCTCCCCCCAGCATGCCATTCTTTCCTCCCAGGAGCTAGGTTTTGAGCTCATCAAGAGTTAATTGAATTTGTCCACAAATCTGCTTATGTCTGCCTTCCATTGTAATATCTTAATTACCTATAGCTTAAAATAATGAAATGTATGTGGGAATAAAACTACTGCTGCTTATGAAAACCCAGAAAGGGAAATCTTTGAAAAAGTCATTGCTATAGGAAGTTGTAGATGAAATCATTAAATTGGACAACACTGTAAAAATTTAGAAAAATCCTGTGTCCAGATTGTTCTGCAGGCATATTTAAACCCTTTTAAGGTTTTAAAATTTTTAAAAAAGGTTTCAGCAGAGTGAATTTAAGAAACCAACAAATAAGCAGGATTGTGCTGATAATGGGGGAGAGGGAAAGATAAATGAATGTAAACTGCTTGAGAGTTTATGCTTTATCCATTAGTTCAGAAGTTTTGATAAAGTAATTCTAAAACACTGAATTTAGTGATGTGGTGTCATATGGATAGCGAGAAGAGCAGATGATTAAAAAGCAACAGCTGTGTGAGACTGAAGCATTTGAGGGGCAGGGAGGAGGGGACTGAGCGAGGAGCTTCAGGGTCCTGGGCAGGAGCAGAGAGTCAGGAGCTGCTGATAGGAGAAGCAGCTTTAGCTTCTCAGTGCTGTGCTTTAACCCATTGTGCCACCAGGGAGGGCCCTAAATAATATTTTTAACCTTCAACTTCTACCTTTAATGTATAATCTAAAAACTTAAGTACCATGCAAAAGTCAGACCATCTTTTGTTCACCACTGAAATAATTATTGTATGGTTTATTGCTTGCAAAGGGTAGCAATTTTTTTCTTTTGCAATTTTTTTTTGAAATAGGGAGCATTCTATCTGTCATACACTCGGTTGAATCTGATGTCAAACCCCACATTTTGTTTCAATCCTTAGGGATAAAATTGCCACTGGGTCCTTTGATAAGACATGCAAACTGTGGAGTGCAGAGACGGGGAAGTGCTTCCACACCTTTCGGGGCCATACAGCAGAAATCGTGAGTCTATTTAGTTCATTACATTTATGCTGCTGTTTTTTTTTTTTTTAACATTTCTCTTTTTTCATTGACTTTATTTTCAGAGGAGTTTTAGGTTTGCAGCAAAATTAGGCAGAAGGTGCTGATGCTTGTCCCTTCCCAGGACACATGCAGCAGCGCCACTTATCAGCATCCCCTCTAGAGGGCGCACTTGTTACAATTGCCACCTTGAGGCGTCAATGCTGTTTCTCTTTAGGATTCTCTAAGGGGCACAAAAGGGCTCTCACGTGCTTGGCGGGGGAGTCCAGCTGTGCTTGGCCACCTGTAGGCCAGCTGGACATTGTTTTTTTTTTTAAAGATTTGTTTCGATTTATCAGTGATTTTCTTTTCTTTTTTTTTTTTT